AAGATAATAGATAATAAATAGATAAATAAATGATGAGCTACATCATAGTCATAGATTAGAAGGCTCAATATTGTTAGCATGTCAGGTTTCTCCAAAGTTACCTATGGATTCAATAGAAACTCAACAAAAATTTCAGAAAGATTTTTGTTGAAATTGAAAGAGTAATTCTAAATTTTATGGCCAGGCATGGTGGCTCATGCCTGTAATCCCAAGGTGGATCGCTTGAGGTCAGGAGTTCCAGACCAGCCTGGGCAACATGGCAAAACCCTGTCTCTACTAAAATACAAAACTTAGCTGGGCCTGGTTGCAGGTGCCTGCACTCCCAAGTACTCAAAAGGCTGAGGCAGGAGATTTGCTTGAACCCAGGAGGTAGAAGTTGCAGTGAACAGAGATCGTGCCACCGCACTTCAGCCTGGACTACAGAAGGAGACTCCTGTCTCAAAAATAGACAAATAAATAAAATTTCATCTCATCAGGTGAACATCTTTTGCCTTATAAATATAAATGTGATATAATAAAAACAAACATCCAAAAAGATTTTGAAAAGAAACATATTTGAAGGCCTCATTCTGATTTTAACACTGAATATAAGGCTGTAGTAATTTGGACACTGGCAAAATAATGGACACATAGCTCAATGGAACAGACTTTAGAATCCAAAATAGACTCGTATATATATTAAAAAGTGATATTTGACAAAGGTACAAAGGCAACTCAATGGAGTAAGGATGGTGCTTTTGACAAATGATGCTAGAACAATTGTATATCCATATGCAAAAAAAGACTTGGACCTACACTTATGCATTATATGCAAAAGTTCATTCAAAATAGATAATTGTTCAAATGTAAAACCTGAAACTATAAAGCTTCTAAAAGAAAAAAATTGGAGACATTCTTTGTGCTCTTGGGTTAGGCAAAGATTTCTTAGGTACAACAAAAAATATTTTAAAAAAACGATACATAAAAGAAAAAAAAGAGAAAACCTGGATTTTTCCAAAATTAAAGTTACGTTCTTCAGAAAGTTTTTTTTCCTTTGACAATAATGAAAAATAAAAGACTATAAGAAATCGTTTCTGAAACACATGTCTAACCATGGACTTGTATCAAGATGTGGTTAGCAGAATTCTAGGATGGTGCCCAAGGTTTTCACACTCGGATGTATAAACCCTGCATGATCCTTTCCCCTGGAGTATTGGCAGAACCTTACAGCATGATGGGATAGTTATTTCCTTGATTAGATGGCGTTCTATGAGAAATGTTATAGATAGTCACTTCATTGCTAAGTATCCATCATAGAGACTGGTAAGATTCTCCTTCTAGCTTTAAAGAAATAAGCAGCCATGGTGTGAGAGAGCCACTAGGCTAGGCCTAAATGTGACTCTAGAAACTGAGAGCAACCCTGGCCAACAGCCAACAAAAAAATCAGTGCCCTCAGTCCTGCTACAGCAGCAAGAAACTGAATTCTGCTAACTACTTAAATGAGCTTGGAAAAGGAACCTGAGATCCAGATGAGACCCTATAAAAACGCAACCAGCTGACACCTTGAATTCGTCTTCTAAAACCATGTGCAGAGAACCCAGTTCTGCCATGGCTGGACATTTGACATACACATTGTGTGAGAATAAATGACTGTTATTTTAAGCTGCCAACTTAGTGGTAATATACACGGCACTGGGAAATAAATACTCCAGACTATATGAATATACGAAATTCAATAATGAGAAAATAAATAACCCAATTAAAATTTGGCCAAAAAAATGTGAACAGACACTTCACCAAGTCAAAATCATTAATCATTATGGAAATGCAAATAAAACCACAATGAGATGCCACTACATTCTCATTTGATTCGGATAAACAAACAAACAGATGAAAGATTCCCTGCCAATACCAAATGCTGGTGAGGATTCAGAACAACTGGAACTCACATACATTAATTATAAAAATGCAAAATGATGAAGTCACTCATTTTGGTGAACAGTGGCGCAATTCTGATAAACTAACTGTACATGTCATATAACCCAGCATTTCCACTTAAGAGAAAGGAAAGCTCAGATTCACACAAAAACCTGTACTCTACATTTTACAGTGATTTTTTTTCACAATTATCAAAAACTGTAAACAGTCCAGCTGTCCTTCAACTGGTATATTGGTTCTCTGCTACTGATGTAAGAAATATCCACAATCTAACCGGCTTACAACTGTATAGATTTATTATTTTGAATATCTAGTGGATAGAAGTCTAGTAGGGGACTTACTAGGTATTATCAAGATGTCAGCCTGCCTGCATTCCTTTCTGGAGGCTCTAAGGGAAAATGTGTTTTTTCTCGTTCAGGTGTTGGCAGAATCCGGCTTCATGGGGATGGAAGATTGAGGTCTATTTCCTTGCTGACTGTCAGCTGAGTGCCAGCTTTAGATCCGATAGGCCTCTCTCGGATTCTTGCATGTGGTTCCTTACAACAGAACTAATAACAGGGTACCAGTGACTTCTGATGCTATCATCTTCCTGTTTATGTGGCTATATTTGGCCCACCAGGATAATCTAGGATTACCTTGCAATCTCAAAGTCTATAACCTTTATCACATCTGCAAAGTCCCTTTTGCCATGTAAGGTAATATATTCACAGCTTTCAGGAATTAGAACGTGGACATTTTTGGGAGTCAATGAGAGTGCCTGTCACAACTGGTGAATAAATGAATAAATAATAAGTAATAATCCATACAATGGAATACTACTCAGGAATAAAAAAGAAGTGAATTACAGATACACACAACATGAATAAACCTGGAAACATTCGGTTAAGTAAAGAAAGCCAGGTTCAAGAGGCTGCATTTTATACTATTCCATTTATTTGACATTCTAGAAGGCAAAACTGCAGATACAGAAAACAGATTAGGGGTTGCTCAGAGCAGGGGACTGGGAAGAACTTGACTACACCAGGCACAGAATAATTATTTGGGGTGTTCAATCTATATTATAGTTTGATTGTAGTAGTGGTTACATGACTATATAACAAAATATAATCAGTAATATCAAAATATAATACTGATACTACCTATAATGGTGTCAAAACTCAGTATTGAACACTAAAAAGGTGCATTAAAATCTATTCATATTATACCTTAATATAAATTAATCTATTTTTCATTGTATTTTAGGTTTTGGGGTACATGTGAAGAACATGCAAGATAGTTGCATAGGTGCACACGTGGCAGTGTGATTTGCTGCCTTCCGCCCCTTCACCTATATCTGGCATTTCTCCCCATGCTATCTCTCTCTAACTCCCCACCCTTCACTGTCCCTCCCCTATTTCCCCCAACAGACCCCAGTGTGTAGTGCTCCCCTCCCTGTGTCCATGTGTTCTCATTGTTGGACACCCACTTATGAGTGAGAACATGTGGTATTTCATTTTCTGTTCTTGTGCCAGTTTGCTGAGAATGATGGTCTCCAGGTTCATCCATGTCTCTACAGAGGACAGGAACTCATCTTTTTGATGGCTGCATAATATTCCATGGTGTATATGTGCCTCATTTTCCCTGTCCAGTCTATCATTGATGGGCATTTGTGTTGGTTCCAGGTCTTTGCTATTGTAAACGGTGCTGCAATGAACATTCGTGTGCATGTGTCCTTATAGTAGAATGATTTATAATCCTTTGGATATATACCCAGTAATGGGATTGCTGGGTCAAATGGAATTTCTATTTCTAGGTCCTTGAGGAATCGCCACACTGTCTTCCACAATGGTTGAATTAATTTATACTCCCACCAACAGTGTAAAAGTGTTCCTATTTCTCCACATCCTCTCCAGCATCTGTTGTCTCCAGACTTTTTAATGATCGCCATTCTAACTGGCGTGAGATGGTATCTCAATGTAGTTTTGATTTGCATCTCTCTAATGACCAGTGATGATGAGCATTGTTTCATGTTTGTTGGCCTCATGTATGTCTTCCTTTGTTAAGTGTCTGTTCATATCCTTTACCCACTTTTGAATAGGCTTGTTTGTTTTGTTCTTCTAAATCTGTTTCAGTTTTTTGTAAATTCTGGATATCAGCCCTTTGTCAGATGGGCAAACTGCAAAATTTTTTTCCCATTCTGTTGGTTGCCGATTCACTCTAATGACCGTTTCTTTTGCTGTGCAGAAACTGTGGAATATAAATTAATCTTTTTTTAATTGAGAACTTACTATAAAGTTAATTTACATCAGTAATGCCAAGGTAAATAGAAGCATAAAGCTTGACTTCACTGATACTAATAAATAAAAAGATTGAGATTTTAAAACTGCAAAATGGGGACAGTACAGCAGACATTGAGGACTTTGTGGATAATCGTGTGAGACCTCTACACATGTCAAAGTCACATTACATACATGAATGGGACAGCTATATCTGGGACAACCCAGATAATAAGCAGAGCAACCCAACTCATTTTGAGGTCAGTATAAAATTGATTTAGAAAATAAAAATGTAAACATCAAAGATAGCACAAGACAAATATCTATCATTTTATTTCGCATATATGTTTATATAGTCATAAAAATTGCTATTGAATGGGAAAAAAGAACAAAAGAAATTAGAATTTATTTGGAATATCATATATTCTTTATCCAAATGTAATATCCTTCTTAAACTTAAAACAAACTAACAAACAGAACTGGGAGACCAGTTTCTTTAAAAACAAGCAAGTAAGGCAAATAAATAAAAACACTTCCTGAGCATGGTGCTGATGGCTATGTTAGAAGCTGAGGATATACATATGCATGGATATAGATTGTAACTAAGAAAGCTCAGAATCTTAATTTGAGGGTTAAACCAGGATAGTGGGGTGGAGGAACTCAGAGAGGAGGAGATTTCAGTAGAGGAGTGGCCAAGTTATAGGGAGTCTGGGTAGGAGATTATTGAATCAGATTAAGTTACAGCATTGAGGTCAATGGTGACTTTAAGAAGAACAATTTCTGCTGACTACAGAGGAGGGAAAGAATGAGATTAAAATGGGTTTAAGACTGAATAGGCGGTAAGGAAGGGGAGACAATGGGTGTGAGCTATGCATTTGATAAACACACATGGAGGGAAAGAGAGACAGACAATGACTGGAGAGAAATGTGGGGAGTAAAGAAAGACTTTTGATGAAAGGTACTGCAATGTGTTTGTATGTTAATGAAGATGAGCTAGGAGAACAGATGAGATTAAAGATCTCTCTCTTTCAGGAAAGAGATCTAAAAGGAACAACGGTTTTGAGTAAGGAGGAAGAAATGGAGTGGAGCAAGACACAGCAGATGGCTTGGCCTGTGGTGGGAGAAGGCTTCATGCTTCACCTAAACAGAAGGAAAGGAGGCGGAGATGGAGTTGCAAGCACCGTTGCAGTTTTGAAAGAAAAATGATGGTATTTGTACTACCTAAAACTTTGCAATATACATTGCTTCTTTAAGTTTAAGTATCTCTTCTTTACCTCACCACAACTGTGTGAGAAAAGAGAGTAGGTATTTATTATTACATTTAAGTCATAAGCGAAAAAACTGAGGTCAGATACACCAAATGACTTTCTCAAGATCATAAGCTAGTAAGTGGTGGTACAGTGCTTGAATTCTAATTTAAATTTCTTTCGTTAACATCAGGAAAACAGTTAAACTCAGTATCACTAGACATGTCAAACTGTAATTCTTAGACATAAGATGAAGCAAAAATATTGCTGGCTTCACTCCCACTTCTGTACTCTTTATTTCCCTAGTACTTGCTGTAATGTGGAAGTGGTGGAGTAAGGCTGCTTTAGGTATAGCTGAAAGAAGGCACAGCCAGGAAAACAAGACGTACGGAAGACGGATATTTTAAATGGCAGTCAGATGACTGGATGGCAGCTATCCTTGACTCCATTCATTGGGCAGATTTTAGCTTATGCAAATGAAACCAGTCACAATCATGGGAAGAAAGTAAGAAGAGAAGTTTTGGTGTAGAGGCTGATAAGTTCAGTCACGCATATTCTGAGTGCAGAATATCCAACTGACCATTGAATGGATGGAGCTTAATCTCAACTGAGCTATCTGGGCTTGAGCTGTAGTTTGAGGAGTCACCATACAGATAGTGTTTGTTGTAAATTAGAGGTCATAACTTGCATTTGAAAAAAAGTGTTTAAAAACTGCAGTGACGCTTATAAATCCTCTCTCAATTCATCTGTTGGAATAAAGGTCTTTCATGTCCCAGGGAGGTGCTGTTGACATGGTAAATTTCTATGGGAATTTTTTCTTTGCTGAGCAAGGTCTAATTGTAAGCAATTGTAGGGTTTATGTCATATCTAACTGGTATTTCTTTCAAGCACATAAATGGTCTTTACTGATAGGAAGCCGTGCAAATGTTCCCCTTTTACAATTTACTGAAATTGCTTGTTATTTTTAGAGGGAAGTCAGGCATTAGTGAACCCAGTGCTGAAAACAAGTCTTTCATAAGCAGAAAGCTTAAAATTCAACATCAATTGTACCATTTCTAATATCAATAATTTCAGCAGATTTTATATTGTGGATTATAATTTTTAATAATATTTTAAAATGTGCCCTCAGTAATCCTGAGTGATACTAGGGCATCATCCCATTTTTATAAACGGGTAACCTGAGGCAGTGGAGGGTGAAGTGACTTGCTCAGGGTGCCAGAGAAACCAACAGACATCAGGCCATGTGACTCTTTCCAGCTCTTTGATACCATTTGAAATGATATTATTTTCAATCCCCCTAATAATACTGAGAGCCCTCTATTACATATACAGTGAGTAAATCAAGACATGACTGTAGTTTAATTTTAATAATTTATGACTCTCCATATAGTTGCAAGCTTGTTTTCTAGAGGATATTGAACTCTGAAATTTTAGGTGATAAGAAATTTGTTTACAGTTCTGAGCTAGTAATCTGATGTTGTATCAGGATCCAGTGGGGCTAGAAAATTAGTCATCTTCTTTTATTGATAATATGGTTAAGAGCTCAGGAAAAAATAACAGTGAATTTTGTTTTTCCAGTGACTTTTCAATGATGCTTCAAGTTCCCAATACCTATGGACTAAAACAAATTAATTCACATACTTGCTTCAACTTCCCTTTGATAAATTAACAGACAAGGCTATTAAGCATGGCAGTATAACTACATATTGTTTTAATAAAACATCCAGTAGGAATTATTTTGAAATATGCACTATGTTGTTGGTCCTTAAAAGTCATATTAAAAAGAACTCCATGAGATTAACAGCTTCTTAGAAAAGTACCTGCTTCTTAGAAAAGCCTAAAGGTACCCACTTATTAGAAAAGCAGCCACAAACTTCTAACAATAGAGAAAATAATGATGGAAAAAAAAAAAAGAAAAGTCTTTCAAGGGCCAATTGAGAGAGCTGGGGCAGGATTTGGTGGTCTTCTTTGTGTCAGGGCTGGAAGCCTCAGTTGGTTTTCCTATGCTTTTGAGCTCCATAGAGAGTTGGGATAAAATTATCAAGATGCATGTGCTTGGTACCTCCAGGCTGCCAGAGCTGGTAAGGGTGGAGGGGAGGGAGAGGAGTTACCAGAGTTACCGTGTTTGGATGGGTGTGATTCACCATCACTGTGTTACATGTTTGACATACATTATCTGTTTCTCCTTTGTAATAATAGTCTTGCAGCATAAATACAATAATCACCATGTTACGGATAAAGAAAGTGAAACTAAAAAAATTCAGTAATATATCCAAGATCATGCAGTTGCAAATGGATTTGGAGTTCAATCTCAGGCTTTATGTCTGTAAAGACAGTGTTTATTTTCCTGCCTTGCCCTGCAAGTGTTAGCCCCAGACTTATTTCTATATATGTGTTTCTCCTTCCCCCATACATACGTCCCAGACATTTTCAAGAAGAGAACTTATCCTTTGGGTGATGAAGGCAGGACTTCTTAGTGGCTCTGTTTTTTTTTTCAGTTACTTCTCAACATCTCCTTTTAACTCTCAAGGGTGCTTCAGAAGTACCTTCTCTCTTTCATCCTAACTCATAGAGGACCTGGCTTTATGAGCCCTTGAAAGACTCCATACGAATTTCTCCTGACCACTGGATCAGGGAATAAGCTATTTTTCATAATGGGAGGCTTCTTATTTGGATAGCTTCTTGCATTTTCATCCAACATCACAGACTCCAGGATCTATAGCTGGTACTTCCCTTCCCGCCTCCTCAGAGCATAGATCTGGGAACAGTGTGTGCCCCTTGACTGAACATTTAGCTATCTCTTCTGGAAGTTTTCTTCCTTTGGGGATTGTCTTGACCGGGATTAACACCCATTTCACCTATGCTGCCACAGCTGTCCCATTTCATGGTTGTAACCTGAAGACTTGTCTTTCCCCAGCTTAATATCCTTCAATTTACCATTGTCTTCAGGGTACTGTATATACCCCCAACATGCCATTCAATGGTATTCACAAACTAAACTCATTTTTCTCTCAGCTGAATTACTGTAGTCCCCTCTTCTTTTCCACTCCTTGCTTTAACTCAATCTATTTCAAATATATCAAACTGTAACCAAGTACTTGTATTTTTTTAAAGAAAAAGAGAATGAGTTACTTTTTAAAATTATTTTCTCTTTTCTCTATTTCCCTCTGTTCCCGACTTTCTACTTAGCACTTCAGAAATGCAGTTGTGGCCTTCTATTTCGCCTTCACCAGACACCCCTATAGAAGTTCATCTAAACATGTGTTTACAAGCTCTAGAACAGAACTCTCACCCACCAGAAGATTGCTTCCAGAGATTACTGTCAGTTTATAACTCAGCATCCTGCTATGAAACTCTCTTCCATGTAGAGAGTCCTGGGCCACCTTTACAACCTATTTCTGCCCATAAGGATGCCAACTCAGCTGCCTAGTAGAAAGGGGCCAAGCTAGCACAGGGATTCCCCACACCACCTGCTATCTTCCCCTGCCACCTTTTAAAAGTGCCCACTTTCTGCTCAAAAAGCCTGTACTTCTTCCCTTTAGCTAGCTTTGAAATAAAAGTCTCTTTCTTTATACTAGACCTCACTCTTGTTAATTGGATTCTGCAAGTGGTGAGTGACTGAACCTGCTTTTGGTTACAAAACTACTCACTCTGCTTTTTGGGAACTTCCTCCTCGTGAGCATTGGTTTCAGTCTTTAGGATACTCCTGTACCAATTTCTACTTGAAAAATTTTTCTCTCAGGATGTGAGGGTTATCTGGTTGTGATATCTGTCACCCTTTGACAACCAGGGTTGACTCAGCTGGCTGGCTGGTGAGGCAGTGTCCCCTTCCTGCCTCACTGCTCCATGTGCATCCCTCTGGAAGCTGTGCACTCGGTCGAGGAGGTTGACACTTCCTAATAGATGAGCATTGGGGAATGTCCCCTAGCATTCCCCTGCTAGAACCTCCAAACAAGCAGTCAAAATTCCCCCTCCTCTTTGAAGCACCAACTCAAAGACTTTTTCTTCTGTGAAGCCTTTGTAAATGCCTCAATACAGATTTAGTGACTTGTTTCCCTCAGAGTTTCACTGCACGTAATGTGTTTCTCTGTTATTGGAATCAAAGCATCCCCTTATACTTACTTGTACTTTTCTCTGTACGGTGAGCTTCTAGAGGACACTTTCTGACTTATTCATGTAGTCTTCTTTGCCTGTGACATGGCCCCATTACTAGCTAGGTTTACAGTTTTCGACCTGGCCTGGGCCTCAACCTTTTCTTGCTCCTACAGTTATCATTTTTGAAATCATACCTTAACAATTGTTAACAAGTATCATATACTTAATAAATAGTAGTGCATTTTCTCTTCTAGTTCTCAAACAACCCGACTAAATGGAAATGATTATTATCCTCTTTGTAACCATAAGGCATTTACAGTTCAGAGGATTTGAACGCTTTTCCCAAGTCAAATCCATAGTAATTGTTAAAGCGACATACTATTTCCTGGAGCCCAGACTAATGATCATGAGCAAAAAACACGTATCTAATACAACTGCCTGAATTGCTTATACATAAACTGCCCAATTTTCTAAGTATCAGTATTTGAAGATTAAAGGTTCAAGCACTGTTTTATGGATTTTGATGGAATCAGCTCAGCTTTTTTCTCCCAGATTGTAGTTTGCAAATTTCTTTGTCTGTCTACAGGAGTTGTAGATTCACCAGTGTCAGTTTCTGGGTCTTCTTTGCTTTCATTTTTTCTATTTGAATTGTAGAAAAACAGAGAAACTTTCTCTTGGGAGACTGTTTTTTCTATTCTGAGATGAATCTTGTGTTTTTTATTTATCACCACCACCCATTTCAATTTCTCTCTGTAGGTCCTTTCTCTCTAGTTTATAATGTCATTCAATTTAGAACAGCAAATTTAATTAATAAGACGTAGCTCTTTAAAGATTAATGAAAATGAGAAGACCAAAGGCAGCATTGA